ACCTATAGGGGAGTTGCCTTTAGACTGTCGGCTGACTTCTCTAAAGAAACTTTGCAGGCTAGAAGGGACAGGCAAGAAATATTCAAAGTCATGAAAAGCAGGGACCTACAGCCAAGATTGTTCTACCCAGCAAAGATATCATTTAGTAGCAAATGGCAGATAAAGAGCATCCCAAACAAGAAAAAACTAAAGGAGTTCATCATCACCAAACCATTTTTATATGAAATGTAAAAAGGACTTATTTAAGAAAAAGAAGATCAAAACTATGAATAATAAAATGGCAAAAAATACACTGTATCAACAACTGAATCTAAAAAACAAACTAAGCAAACAAAAAGAACAGAGACAGAATCATGGATACAGAGAGCGTTTTGATGGTTGCCAGATGCAAGGGGTGTGTGGGGGAATGGGTGAAGAGGTGAGGGGATTAAGAAGTACAAATAAGTAGTTACAGAAAAACAATGGGGATGTAAAGTACACTATTGGAAATAGAGTAGCCAAAGCATGTATATGCATGACCCATGGACATGAACAATGGTGTGAGGGATTGCCTAAGGGAGTGCAGGGTGCTGGGTGAAGTGGAGCAAAAGGGAAAAAATCAGGACAAATGTAATAACATAATCAATAAAATATAATTAAAAAAAAAGAAGCTGTGGTCCATTTTGAGAAGAAGTCACACAAAAGATAGTTTCACAAGCAATGTGAGAGACGTATAAAAAGAGTACTGTGATATTGGAGTGACAGATGATCTAAAATCAATCATGGTGATGGCTGCAATTTGGTAAATTTACTAAAAGTCATTAAATTATACATTTAAACAGGTGAATTTTATATGTAAGTTATATTGCACTGAAATTGTCTTTTGGAAAAAGGTGGTATAGGAGTATAGAGGTTCCCTATGGTTCTAAATTAAAACAGGGGTCCTCACCATCCTTACTAAGAGTGTCAGATTAGGAAGGGTAAGAAGAGGTTCAAGGCATGGTTTGTATTTCGGCTGTCTTGCTGTGGTTCTTGGGTCTTGGACTTGACCTTAAGTGGGGGGAATCAACTGAAGGTTTTCATGCATTCCAATGGCATTGTTAAATTCACATTTTAGATAGATTTCAAGAAGGCAAGACTAGAGGCAAGGAAACCAGTGATAAGGATATCGTGATAGTCTTGGAGAGAAAGAAGCTACAGAGGCTGAAACCAGGGTGGTGGCAATAGGATAAAAAGGAAGGCGCAAGGACATGAGCTTTTCAGTAAATTTAGCAGGATGTGGTGACTGGTGGCATGTGGGTGGTAAGGGAGGAGGAGGAGTCAGGGAAGGCTTAGGTCACTATCATCAGACAGGGAACAGAGGGGAGTGAAGCATAGAAAGGACATGTAGAGTGCAACTGTGGCCATGCTGAATTTGAGGTGCTTATGCAACATCCGATTGGAAACGTCCAACAGCTGGTGTGCGTCTGATTCCAACACTTCGGGGAGACTTGGGTTACAAGTCATTAGTATGTGAGTGGTGGTTAAAAACATAGGAGGGGAGCTCTGACCAGTGTGGCTCAGTTAGTTGGGTATTATCCTGCGCAGCGAAAGGTCACTGGTTTGATTCCCAGTCAGGGCATGTGCCTAAACTGCAGATTAGGTCCCTGTTGGTGTACGTACCAGAGGCAACTGATTGATGTTTCTCTTTCACATGGATGTTTCTCTCCCTCTCTCCCTCCCTTCCTCTTTCTATAAATAAATAAATAAAATCTTAAAAAACATAGGAGGGGATGAAATGGGTCATAGAGACCTTGTGAATTAGAAGAAAATTATGTGGAGAATGGAAAACTGGGGGGATTAACATTTGAGGAGGTGGGGAGAAGAATGTGAGAGAAACAGAAGGAAAATCAGGAGAGTGTGATGTCAGAAAGCCGAGGATTAATGTTTCAAGAGGAAAGAAGTAATGGCGTCAAGTGTAGATAAAGCTCCAGAAAGCAAAGACTTAAAAGGTGTCCACTGAATTTGGCTATGGGAGACAACATTTTCAGGGGCAGTATGGCAACCACCAGGCTGCAGCAGATCAAGGATTGAGTGGGAGGAGATGAAATGGAGTTAGAAATGTAGCTGACTATTTGGGGACATTTGGAGACTGGAAGGTGCTGGGGCTGTAACTAGAAAAGGACACATGCCCACAGTCAGCTTTGTTTTGTTCTTAGAATGTAGAGACTTGAGCATGTTTTGTAGGCTGAGCCAATGAGAAAGGACATTTCAAAGACACAGATGAGAGGTTCATGGATGGAGAAGGGCTGGATATGGAGGGACATGGACCAAGATCTCAGGCTGAGCACTAGCAGGGAGAGTGTCACCTCACCTTTCTGGACTTGAGGTCTAGGTGGGTATGTAGCCAGATGGAAGGGGTGGGTGTTGAGCAGCTGCTCACCTATGACCTTGGGTTCTCTGCTTCGCTTCCTGTGTCTTTCAAGCAGGAAGAGAAATTCTTTGCTGAAAGTATGGGGATTGGAGCTTTGAAAAAAGTAGAGAAGTTTCAAATAGTGATGATAACCGAGGGGGTTGATGGACAGGTGAACGTGTTGAAGTGAATCATCCTCCATTCCTTTCTTTCTCGCAATCCCGCTCCTCCAGCTCTCAGCAGCATGTCTCCGCCGCTTCTATTTCCTTGTCAGGCAACTGTGACCTCTACTCTTACTGCTCTGGCCTAAACCACCAGAATTTCTCTCCTAAATTTCCACTGTACTTTCTTTACTAGTTTTTCTTCTGGCTCTCTTTCCTCTTTCAGACCTTTCTCCATATGGCAGCCAAAGAGATATTTTAAACATGTATTGAGTTGGCTAAAAAGTCTGTCTAGTTTTTTCTATAAAATCAAAGATACATTTTTCATTTTCACCAATAACTTTATTGATTTGGATATTTTGAGTATGACAGCTATCTCCTGTGTGATACAATGCTGATTGTTTTCAATTAATGTCTTGATTTGATTGCTATCGGCTTTAACTGATCTATCCAATTGTGGAGCATCATCCAGCTAGAAATCACCAGCATGAAACTTCTCAAACCACTTTTGACACATTCAGTCACAGCACCTTCTCCCTATACTGCACAAATCTTTTTTTGCATTTTAGTTGTATTTTTATCTTTCTCAAAATAATAAAGCATAATATACCAAAAAATGTTATTTTATTCCATCTTCAATACTAAAATGGCTACACAAAAATTCACAAGTTTGATAAGATTTTAAAAAAATGCTTGCTGATATGACAACTGTCACAGTACAATCTAACAAAAAATTTTTGAATGAAGTTAAAGACAACTAAGCACTACTACAGCCATCTTACAGAAAAAAACAAATGAAATTTTGGCCAAGCCAATAGATCAGATCATACCACTCCCCTGCTTTAAATCATCCAATAATTCTCATTGCGATAAGAATAAATTCCAAGTACTAAGCTTTGTCTTGTAAACACAACTGGGCCCTAACGACTTTTCCCACATGGGCCCTTGGTCAATGTGTTTCAGCCACTCTGGCTTTCTTTTCTTCCCTCCGATGCCCCAAGTTAGTTCCTGCCCCAGGGCCTTTGGTCTTGGTGTCCGTCTGCTCAGGATGTTCTGGTCGGCTCTTTCCCATCATTTACTTGCACAGCCAGAGTTACTCTCTCAAAAAGGGCTTCCTTGCCTGTTTGAAGGAGCATCACTCCCACGCCCATTACCTCTGTTTTATCTGCCTCATTAGGGTCATCAGTAACTGAAGCGATCTTACAGACTTACTTGTGCGTTTTATTTGTTTCTCAATTCTAGACTAAGAGCTCCAGGATAAAAGAGACTTTGTTGAGGACAAAGTAGGCACTTAAGTATTATTATTTATGAGGACAGTGTTGAAAGTGTCCTTATTAATAAGGACAGCATTGAAAGCCCAACAGAGATTAGAAAATAAAACTCCAGTGGCTTCAAGTCACACAGTTATGTGATTTTTTTCCCCAACAGAGAGCATAAAATAAGATTGATTATCTTATGCACCTGTTCTTAAGACAATTTCAAACAAGTATTTTGAAACATGGGTTGGGTGGCAGAGGCATCTGTGAAAAGTAGATATACTCCCAGTATGACCAGTTCGAGTGTTTATATTCTCACTATTTTATAGACATTCTCTCCATCTTATAGTCTTGCAGGTATGTTACCAAGTTGTGGGAGCAATTTGCTGACTCCATTTCCAGCCCCAAAGCTAAGTTGTGTCATACAGGTGAAAGCAGGTTACTGAGATAGGCCTGGTTTCCTTGGTGACCTGGTAGGTTCAGTTCTATTTGAAATTGCTAAGAAGAAAAACCTGGTAACTGGCAGTTCTGTGTTTTCCTTGGGGAAGGAGTGCTTTTCAATCCTTGGCTGAGGCTGAGGCCCTGCCTCCCGGGTGGATGAGGGTTGACCTCGGGGCCAGCGGCCTGAATGACACTTCCTAAGTGCTCCCTGCATCCCACATCCCGTCTGGCAAGTTTGTCCTCTGTGAGCCCTGGGCAATTGCATCATGACCCCTCAGGCTCTCCGTCTGTTTTGTTTTTGCATGTAAACACTGTAACTAGGGTGATGAATAATTAGCTTAGTGTGGAATGTGCTAACCACCTTTCTTCTGGCAGCATGACAAAGAAGGGCCATATCATTTTATAAATGGTAGGACGACCCAGTTTGCCTCCTTAATGTCTTTTTCCTTGATGGCTGGTTTATCAAATGTAAGCTCTACTGCCATTTGTTGACTAGGTTTGTGTGCCAAGCTCTGTGCTAAATACTTTTAAAAGGTTATTTCATTTCATTTTCTTGACAATATTACAAGTGGGTACTCTTACTATCCCCATTTTACAGGCGAGGAAAGTGAGCCTCAGAGGTAAAGTGGCTTTTCATGGTCCCACAGCTTGTAAGTGGTGGGTTTTGGATTTTAGAAAACTATTGCTGCGTATCATGTATGCGTACTGCCTGCTGAATTCTCTCCTAACGCTGCAAGCAAAGGTGGAAAGTAACTTGTTTCCTGCAATTACCTGGTATTCAGACTCCACCTTATGCTGCATGTCCCGCAGATATTGAACATCACTGAGGAACTTCTGTCTGTCCCTTGCTTCATGCAACATGATTCTTAATCGCTGACCTGCATATAAAAGATACATAAATGGGCTGTGATGGAACCTTTTGTTACTTTGCCATATTTGGAATTAGTATAATTGTGTTTCTCCTTTTTATTAATCTAATTTCCATTGTTTGAAAAGCACAGGTGCTCCTTTCGGATTGAAGGGACTCTTTGTACGGGTGTGGATGCCCTTACCACCCTCTCATTCTGGGCGTAAATAATGCAGCCATCAGCTGGCTTCAGTGATCCTCTTGCGGTTAGTCACACGGAGTTAGATTGGCAGACACCTGATTCAGAAGCAGGTCTACAACACGACAACAAAGAGAACCCAAGAACCTAGTTAAATTGTAAATGGCTGAAGTTATGAGACCCTGGGAATTTAAATTCAACTATTCAACTATTTTGTCACCCTTATTCCAACCCAGGCACTATGCTGGGCACTGGGGTATAGCAGTCAGCAAGATGAGCACAGCCCCTGTGTCTGTGGTGTTTATGGTCTAGGGTGAGAAGCCTGACCTTGAACAAGTAAACCCTGATTGTGATCAATGCTATGGAGAGGTATGGGGTTCTTTGAGGGAATGCTATTATGGAAGGGCTCAAGACGGCCTGGGACACCAGGTTTCCCTTAGGAAATGGCACTGGGTGTGCTAAGGAGTGAGCCAGGCAAGAAGGGGGACAGAGAGTATCTTGGACAGAAAGGACAGCAGATGCAGAAGCCTCAGGGCAGGAAGGAACCGGTGTGGGTGAGAAACAGGAGGGCCGGTGCAGCTGGAGCAGAGAGACAGGGAGAACAGCAGGAAAGGTCTGGAAGGTGGGTGGGCAGGGGCCAGCTCCTGTGGGTGGGGCCTTGAGGCTCAGGATTCGAAGAGCCACAGTAAGACACTGGAAAGTTCTATCTGGGAGTAGATGATTACCTTTGCATTTTTAAAAGATCCCTATAGCTGTTGTATAGGGAATAGATGGGTGGGGGTGGAAGGAAGTGGGGGGTGGGTGTGTGTGGAGTAAAAATAGAAATGGAAAGACCACTGGGGACATATTACAGTGATCCATATGAGATAAGATGGTGATCAGACTTGGGTAGCAAAAGTAGAGATGAGGAGGAGGTAGAGGAGATCATAGCTACTATTTACTGAGCCTCTGGACATTATAAGCACTTCCAGAAATTAACTCATCCATATCTTCACGACCGTGCTCTGAGGCAGGCACTGTATCTCTGTTTTTGCAGATGAGGAAACTGAGGCACAAAGAGATTCAGTAACTTGCCCAAGAAGGAGGGACACGTTTGTGAGAAAGTAACTTGGAGTTCAGAGTGTCTGGGGTATAGCAAGTGGAGATGTCAAGTAAGAACATGTAGGTGCTCTAGAGCTGACTAGAGAGGCAAAGATTTGGGCATTCCTGGTATTTTGGGGAACAATTGAAGGTAGAGGCAGAACGGGTCTTGAGAAGAAGAGGACCTAGGACAAAACTCTGAGCAACACTAAAATTTAACAACAGGGAGCCGAGGAGAAACCCTGCAAAGAAACCAGAGAGGCAAGAGGGAGAGCCAAGTGGGTGCTATTTCATGGCTGCCGAGAAGAGCGGGTTTCAAGAAGGAGGTTGTTAATAACGTTGGTGGGAGCATTTAGTAGAGTGACAGGGCTAAAGACAGGTTGCAGTGGGTTGTGTAAATGAGAGGAAAGGAAGTAGAGACAATGCTTTCAAGGAGTTTGGCTCTGATTGGTGTGGCCTAAATTTATGTTCACTAAGTTATTAAGTGGCTCTGTTAATCATGAGTCTGCTGGGTGGATGTTAACTAGACATTATGGCAATCATTTTGCAATGTATACAAATATTGAATCATCATGTTGTATACCTGAAACTAGTATGTTACATGTCAATTAATACCTCAGTAAAAAAAAAAAAAAAAAGAAAGAGTCTGCTAGACTTCATCTATAAGGTCATCAAAGTTTCCACACTATTGTCCAGTGAAGGTCTTTCATTTATTTCTACAGATATTTTGTAGTGACCACCATGTGACAGATGCTTTCTAGGCTCTGGGGAAACAGCAGGATAAGACAGACAACATTCCTGCTCCACATGTTTATATTCTGCCACTTTTATTCCTTCTCTGGTTTTTCAATTGTGTAGACATTGGCAGAATCAGCTTGTCCCTGACTCATGGTGACGCAGGGTCTGGTCTTGTTGCTGTGAACTCTCTCCAGCTTTATCATCTAGCCCCGAGCCACAGGGATGATTGTGTTGGTCCCTCAGGGTTATTTTGTTTTAAGTATGGAAAATTGGTCTTTGAGAGTCAGAATCGAAAACTGGCAATTCCATAATCTATATACAAAACCTAAATCTCTGAGCATTTTCATAGTCACTGCATTAAAGTTTAACCTTTAATGAGGTTATATTTTAAAAGGTCCCTTTTAACTTTTCATAGGAATTTGTACCTGCATAAAATGAAGTTCCTACCCTTTTCAGGAAACGATGGTGTTAAAACAGGCAGAAAGATGAACCCCTGATGCTACTGTTGGAAAGAGAAGCCTGTCTGAATATTAATCAGGCAGAGATCATAAGATTCATAATGAAAATATGTTAATGGTCATTAAAGGAGCACAACCCAGAGTCCACTTGGGTGATACATTTTGGTTACAAAGTTAATGTAGAGAAGCTAGTTAATCTATCCTGCTTTAATGCAGTGTTATTTTAAGGAGGCTTCTAAGTCAAGAGCCATGATATGACTGTTTAAATAGGTAGGAAATAACATTATTTGAATTACTTGCTAGGTTACCACTGACTTCACAATCACTTACCAAATAAAGGACTTTAAAATTGCCTACAAAAGTTTCTTTTCCCTCCCATAAACTCTCTATTCCTATACCTTACCATAAAAGTGACTAGAAGCATCATGATGCTACATGTGATTTCTTGTTTAAGTACATCAATACTTTGTGAGATTAAACAAATACTACAGGCACCAGGGAAACAGATTGTTAGAGGTAAATCAAGAAGATGGTTGAGTCCCAGCATTTAGGCAAACATTCTCCACGTTTTTGAAGTGTCACTTGAACTTCATACTGTACTGTGGGTTTGACAAAGATGACTAGGATGAACAAGAAACAGAAATAACTGTGTGGAAATAAATCCACATGAGAAAATGCTTAATTTGTGGATCTCAACTTTGTGGGCCTAGTCAACCAGATGGCCATTTCAAGCCAAAAATTTTTTCTTCAGCAAATACAGACAGGTGGAAGGGGGGAGAAGAATGATAAAATGTGGGCAAGGCACATATTTCTAAAGTAGCTTCCTGTATTCACTTGTTACTCACCTTTGAACTGCATTTCAATTTAAATCCACTCATGGTCATGCGCACTTCTGTTTTAAGTCTCTGGTGATAACAGAGTGTGCCAAAATTATACTTTAGAAAATAACATAAGAAACCATTTTAAATTGGGAGGGAAAAGAAAAGGCAAAGGGAGTAGGAGGCATGTGGGAAAGCAAGAGTGAATGACCCTTCTTGGCCTCAAAATTCTACGTATCTGTGAAATTTCAATGAGGAATATTCTAAGAACTCGGTGACATGTGTATCCCTCTGTAGTGCCAATTTCCAATGAATTCAAACCAAATTTTCCTGACTGAGGAGAACAGAACCTGATTGCAGAAATGTTTTTCAGTTTGCTAAAACACACACACACACACACACACACACAACTTTATATCTATGCTTTCTCTTCTGCAACCACATTTGTCAGGATTGACTTGAAGGGATTTATTTTTAATAATAAACAAGCTAGCTATTTTACTGCTTTCTTAGTATGTTCTCATCGTAGAAATACTACTAAAGTGAATATTTTATTGGTTCAGCAATAAAGAAAAATATAAATTTAAGCCCCTCCTTAGGCTGAAGCTGCCTTTGAAACAAAATCTAAAGGGCTATGTTAATACCTGACAATCCAGTGTATAAAGTCCCCCTAAGATGTACAAACAGCCAGTTACAAAAACAGTCACCAGGATGTAAATACAGCATAGGGAATATAGTCAATAATATTTTAATAACTATGTATAGTGCCAGATGGGTAGTAGACTTATCAGGGTGATCATTTTGTAAGTTATATAAATGTCTCATCACTGTATTGTACACCTGAAACTAATATAATGGTGTATGTCAACTGTAATTGAAAAATAAAAATATTATTTTTAAAAATTTCCTTCTTTTCCACAGTTGGGTGCCTAGAAGAATTCAAGAGACGTTGTTCGTCCTTTTACACAAGTAATTTGTAATGACCAATATTGCAAGATTTGTTTAAATTTTAGCTTTAAAAACCATACAGAGTTTTAAAATCTTATTAAAACATCTTGAGTATAAGCAACAGTGATGAATGAATGATTCGGGCCTAATTTTCCTCACACTCTGATGCTGAGAGGATACTGTGGCAAAAACAAAAACAAAAACAAACAAACAAAAAAAAACAGGAGGAATTGAGAGGGGTCAGGGGATATGATCAGATTTTTCCAGTCAGTTTGGCTTTAGAAATCAAGGGCTGCGGGTGGGGTGGGTCTGGGGCTCCTTGGAGTTGACTCCTTATTTTATTGTGAAACTGTGAAAGAAATGGGCGGTCGCACCCTGACCACCAAGCACAGAAGGGGGAGACTCAACGTGCCACTGGGAAACTTCAGTGGGTGGGTGGTAGTGTCACAGGTGTGACAAGCAATTTGGTGTTCTCAACAATAATATCATCAACAGTTTTGCACTCCGAGGCCGAGGGTCGTGTGTACCTCTCCTAGACCGCAGACCAGGGCAGTCTGCAGGCAAGTTATGTAGCTGTGGGCGGCTCACAGCATGCAAATAAATAATCGCAGAGACCCCCAAACCTGTCCCTCTGAGCGAGAATAAAAACGGGCGCTGTGCCAGCAGGAGGTAGTGGCCAGGCACCCAGGCTTCAGGCCCGATTTCCCTCCGCAATCGTATTAGTCCCCTCCCCCCACCTCCTCAGAGGACCGGGGCCGCTGGGGCAGGCCGGC